GTTGTTGTTCCACCCTGGCTTCCAAGATGGATTAACACTCGAAGTTCCTAACGGCTGCCTAGCTGCCCCTTTCCTCTTTAGCTATCTCTCTACCTTCATAGCCACATGCAACATGTGTTCCAACTCCAAATAATGTTGCAACTCCACTACATTGGAAATTTCTCTATTCAACCCATTCAAGAATCGTGCCATGGTAGCCTCCCGATCCTCCACCACATTGGCCCCAATCATGAGTATTTCCATCTCCTTATGATAGTCCTCTACACTTTTCGACCCTTGATATAGACCTTGCAGTTTTTGATGGATCTCTCAGTAATAGTGGCTAGGAACAAACCTCTTTCTCATCAATGACTTCAATTCCTCCCAAGTGCTGATTGGTCTTCCCCCACTCGTACGTTGTGAAGTAATCACTTGATCCCACCATGAAATTGCATAGTCACTGAACTTCAAAACTGCTAACTTCACATTTTTCTCCTTCGAGTAGTTATAACACTTGAAGATCATTTCAACCTTCCTTTCCCACTCCAGGTATGCCTCGGGATCACTTCTTCCTTTGAATGAAGGAACTATCATTTTTATATTTCCCAAATTTCCATCCCACTCCTCCCCGCGATCATTCCAACCCGTTCTGTCGAACCTATCGCCTCTATTCCTCATCCTTCCCATCTCAACACCGTAAAATTCATTTTCGCCCATGTCACTCCCATATCCATACTCCTCTCGCCTTTCCCTCCTAGGCTCCCATCTATCCGGTCCTCTGGCATTGGATACTTCCACTCGATGCCCCCAACTAAGATTAGCCACCGATGTATCTAATCTATTCATCCAAGCCTCCTGCTTCTCCAACCTATCTCTCACATCTCCAAACACCCTCTCAAACCTTTGCACTAAATCTTTCGTTGCATTGCTATTATTGCCTTGTCGGCTTGAGTTTGATTCTGCCCTTTCTGACATCCTAACACTAAAATTTTATTTTACTACCTCACCAAAAGTCACTCGGGAACACACAAGGGCTTTTACCCTCTATTAAGCTCACCTCTCTACCTCTTACCACTCAGTTCTTTCAACAATTACTTCTAGGAACAATCAATGAACTCAATCAATCAATCAAATCGTGTAGAATTCCCCAAACCGGATGTGACTCAATAATTGTAACAAAGGACTCAAAGAAAACTTTTAAAACTTGACTTGAGTTGAAGGAATGGAATGATTTAATGTGTCCAAGTAATTTAGAAACGATAATGAATAATAAAAGTTGGTATTTGACGGATCAATAATATTTAACAAGTTTTTTTTTGCTGTACGGATGAACAGTACCGTACGGATGAACAGTAATTTTTTTTATTTTTTTAGATCCGGAAATCAATAACAAAACCAACAAAGAAAACGAAAACTGATTTGGGCTAAAATTGAGCCCAGAAACGAAATTTGAAGATTTTTGATGAAACTTTTGGATCAAA